ATGGATAATTCTGTAACTGAAGCATAATTTAAAGCACAATGACAAAAATCTGTTAGGTGCCACAGAAGCAATTTAAATAAAAGGGGGAAAAATTTGCTGCTTTTACTACGCACTGCTGAGTCAAGCTAAACAAAAATATTTATCATTGGGCTCAGATATGCTCAATGGGAGTAGATTATAACCAATTTCTGGACAAAATGTTCAACCAGGTATTCAGAATAAGACAATTACTGAGGACTGACAGACGTGTTTTGTAGAAATGTAAAAATTGCGAGAAGTTATAACCATGGCGACTAGCAAGTTTTTTTTTCAAGATTGTAAACAAGATCATACAGTTTATGTTCACGAAACTAACTTCGGTAGGCAGCTGGAAAATGTCGACTTGCATAAATAAGACAAAAAAAATTGTTTTATTTTTTAAGTGCAAGAGGCTTGCTTAAAAACACAACAAACAGACAACCAGTATTTACATTGAATAAACAGCGTAGTGTAATTTTGAAATGTATTCCGAGTGCATTTGCGATACGTGCAATGAAATTTTACTGTGCATTTAAAGAATGAAAGTTCTTAATAATCATTTGCATGCATCAAAAATTTGCCTATTTGAGGCACCACAAACAGGCTTGCTGTACTAAAATGTGTATATTCAAATATATTTCACATTACGAAAAAAATGTATTCAATATTTCTTTAAAGCCAACGAAGTAACATGCTGAATTTATCTTGCCCGAACAAAAACAAAAATTAGCTCTCTTCCCACAAAAACAACATTAGTCCGATTCATTTGGCGTACGGAGCAGAAGTTGCCCGTAGAAGAAACAGACTGCGGCAGATAATAAATCTACTTTGCTCCACGATCAAAAGCATCATATGTTTCTAAGCAACATATTATTCCCGAATAATAAACTATTAAGCAAAGACTGTAGAAGATCGATGAGATCATTTGCATAAACTAGGATTTAGTGACACGTCAGAGGTCTCTATAGAGACTAATCAAGAAACACATTTTGGGATTATATGTATCTTTGAAATTAAGCGAGCAAAATCTCAAGCAGATGTTTAGATGACAACATGCCAGATTCGTTCATGATCACGAACATAACACAAGCTTGTAATAAGAATGATTATATAGTGCCGTCTCCCACATGAAAACTTCAGGATGAAATGAGCTGCCAAGCGTTTAATTTCCCTTTATATCGCTTAATTAGGTTTGTGACTTTTGCGTTTGTATAGACGCATTTTGTAAAGTTAACTTTAATTCGTAATTCGCGCAGAACTCTCTGGCTAGTTGCTCCCTGAACCAAAAAATGTCGCTGAAATGGCAAGAATGGGCTATTCATTGTCCATCAAGTCCTAGAAGTAGTATCAAATAAGGCACCATCTTTGTTTTATTTTGATGGTCTAATGCACTTTTCTCAATGTTAAGATGTTCTTAAAACCTGCACAATCAAACACTCAATTTCAATCTATCAACATCATTCAAGACATCCCCACTAACACAGGCGCTCAAAGAGTTTAAAAGGATCTTCACAATACATAAACAATCAAACTGAGTGGCTACTGTGTTAAAGTGAAGCAATAACGAAACATATGATTCACTATTCTATCACCTGCACGAATTCAACAATCAAAGAGACAGTCACGTTATCCAATTATTCAAATTGAACTTACCTTTTTTGTAACAACATCATTCTGTTTCATGACTTCAATATATAGGGTTCTATTCTTTAGCATGTTAGTAAAACAAACGGCAACAAACTTTTAGCGGTCCTAGCTATTAATCATCGGTAACAAGTGCGACTTAGCCGTGACGAGATCATCGACATACAGTGATGGTTATGAACCGCTTGAAGCGACAGTGAACTCGAAAGGTTTGGAAGTTCTCATAAATAAAAACTCCAGGTTCTGCTAGTCAATCACTAAAGGCTCCCTTCTTAATGAAAACAGAACTAGTAATAGCTCGCGGCAACGATACTAAATAAGTTGGCGAGTTCAACTCGATTTGATTCTAATCTGCTCTATATGCATTTGTTTTCATGAATTATCAGGAGATTAAAGACAAAAGACTTTGTAATTGTGTAAAGAAAGCTATCAGTCCATTGTTGTGGTCATCACTGCCTGACATTAGCAAACAACAGAAGTATCTTTGGTCGCAGGTGTTACAGAAAGTAAAAATGTTATACAAGAATGATTTTATGGAAAAGCGAGCCGCTGAGGTGACCACCATCGAAGGGGAAAGTGACAACCAAGATTAAATAGCAAAACGAGAAGAATATTGTTTAAGAAAGGTCACGGACAAATAATAATTTACAATTGACTAAGATGAGAAAAAATTGATTTATTATCCAAAGAAATCAATGATAGTTTTCCAGCGAAAATTGGTATCTAAATCCACAGCCCACCAATTCTAGTGCTGTGAAAGTCAAAACACGAAGGAATGAGCCATTCAATTCGCTCAAATGACAGAACAGGAACCAAGTAACCTTCTCTTTGCTTGAAATGTTTCCCAATGTCAATCGTTCGGGTACAAGTAAGTCGGGTACAAAAAATCATCTGACAACGAGAGGCAAATAACTCTAAGAGCACCACCAATAAGTCATGTTGAGAAGCGCAGTTTTAGGTAGAGCCGAATAGCGGAAACTTTTCTAAAATCAAGAAAAACTAAAATCACGCCGTACAAGGTACACAATGCTGGTCAAATATGACTTCAACATTCCGTACAGCTATGCCGTGTTTGCTACGATTACAAGTTTCAGAAAAATAAAAAATTTAGAGAAAGATGGTAGCAAGAAATTTAGACAAGATGTTTCTTGTAAAGACAGCAAGGAAACTACTTTCCAACACTCTGTTTTTGGCGAAAGTTGTTAAAAAAACGTTCGACAAAACCAGTCAACAGTCAACTCTGTTCGCAATGTTGAGATGTCGTCAATATTTTTTCTCCAATTATTCCCAAAAAATCTCAAAAAATGCGTGAATTTTAAGAGGGTTCAGAAACGTTAATAACCTATCTGAAAAGTTATGATGCAGTTACGTTATTAGGCATGTCGACGACCCAATCGAAAGTAAGGAAATATGTGAAGTTCTAAAACGAGACACTTTGAACAATTGTTTGAGACATTGAGATTGTGTTGTAACTGAGACAAAGATGTCTCGAATCAAATTATTTTCCATTGCTAAGCCATCGGGACACTGCATTGATAGCCACCTGAATTGAAAGTCGGCGTAAAGCATCTCACGCCATGTCAATGAAATTGCAAGCAAGTCAATTTGGAAAACAACTATATTGCGTTGCTTTTATTAGCAGCCAACGGATCTTGTTCGTTTTGTATGGATAGGTGACGTGCCTATTACAAAGTTGATTATGTTCCTTCATTGGCTTCAAAATGTCAGTTTTCGAAAGTCGGCTTAAAGCATCTCACGCCATGTCAATGAAATTGCAAGCCAGGCTTCACAGCCAGTCAACTACTAGGATCACAAGCACTCTTGTTGTGAAATTTTGAGAGTGGGAAATAATTTAAGGGCTTGGTTGATAAAAACAAATAGTTGTATAATTTGAGTTTTTAACGTAAAGTGAATGTTACCGGATGGAACTGGCAAAAGTGCTAAGAACTAACTTCATGATCTATCTGAAGTTTCAACAGGAAGCCACTTTTTAAAAACAAAGACGTCATCAACATAAAAGACAACGCAAAGAGAGATCCTCATAGCGATTTTAAAGGTTTCCGAAATACTTCTAATGAGACCGTTCAAAGTTTAAAAAGCAAAAAGCTGCTTACTCTGTTTATCTCAGGCTCCTGCTGTAAATGTTTTCGAAAATAAATCCAATTTCCTAGTTCGGAAGTAACACTAAGAGAAGTTAAAGAAAATGGAATTTCTTTCTTTTAAAAAATAACCTGTGATTTACAGAATAAAGAAATTGGAATTCGGCATTAAGCTATAACTTTGTCAGTGAAATATCTGTATCCACTGAACTGTCCTCTTCTAATAAAATAATGTAGATTAAGTATATAGTTTAAGGACAAAATAATATATATTAACACAGTTTAATGTTCTGTTAATATCTTACCTCGTGCATGGAAGAGCACCTCAGTGAATCATCGCATTCACCTTGGTCAATACTTCCACTAATATCACTAAACATTACCACTCTGAATGAATGTACCAAGAAGAAAAAGAAATTCAAGGAAAGAGATCTTCCGGCTCTTACAACTTAAGACATGCAGACTAAGTGGGCTTGCCACTGGCAACATTGCATATATCGAGATAATCTCTATTTCCTTCTCTTATGAAAACCAAACAGCCTCAACTGTTAGGCTATTTAGAAACTGTGCATGAATATAAAAAGTGTTTGCTCTAAATGATCCAGCTGGCTTCACAGCAAGGATCAATAAAGGCAGGACTAAAACGGCCTTTCTGGTTGCTGGTCATAATAAGCAAGTGCATGCTATACATCCCTGCTGTGCGTCACAGTTACACAATGAGCCGCAAGATACGTTTGTTTCTCATACACAAATCTTGATACAAAATATCCTGCCTATCTGCAGGTGGTAACCATTACTGTATCAGCGAAAACTGACATTTTGAAACCAATGGAGGAACATAATCAACTTTGTAATAGGCACGTCACGTTTCCATACAAAACGAACAAGATCCATTGGCTGCTAATTAAAGCAACATAATGTAGTTGTATTCCAAATTGACTTGTGAACACATTGTAATGAAAATAAGGACCATTTAGAAACAAAAACAAAACGCAACATCAATAGTCTCTTTTGACGAGCTATTACCGCAGAAACCTGAAGACAGAATCTCCCATAGAAAAATTCATTGATTCGATGTCAAAAGGTTTGTAGACTTTAGCGATCACTAAAATCTGACATTGCAAATCTATGGGAGTCTCTGTATAAAAGTATTTTTGTCTCCCCCATTATTATGACAGCGGCTGACAGAAATACTCATATAAGTCTCACAAACACACAGACAACAGAATAACAACATACCTGTGCAACTTTTTGTCCAGGGTTGATACTGGTTTGTCTGAGGGGTGGCACTGCAGGATATGCAATATCGAAAATGCTTCCTTGATTTTGCCCATTCGCAGGAGGCTTTGTTTTCAAAAATGCATCCGAGGGGCCAATTCGACCACACATATCTCCATCTGAGCTAGATATCTTCCGGCCGTCTAGCAATATGCCCAAATTATTATCTGCATTCAAACTGCTTCTTCTGTCATCAGTGTTGTGTGCGAAACCGCCAGGGATATGAGATGCTGACCTTGAAATCTTTCGACGAAGATTGGATTGGTTGGCTGTGCCTCCTTTGCTGGTAGTCTGACTCGGCAACTCTTCTTCAGGTGGGGTCGGGCAAGTGAATTGAACTTTCGGAGAATATCTAAAATGTCCATTGGCAGGCATCAATTCCTTCCCAATCTTTTTCTCAAGCAGTGCGATTTCTTCTGGCTTCCCATCCATCCTTACTTTCTTCTTCTTTTTCTTCTTACTTTTCGATTTCTTTTTTTGTTTTTCTTGTTCTTGAAAAAGAAAAAAAATTTAATAGCATAATTGAAGGTTACATAAAATAGTGACTTTCGCCGTTACTTCCAGATCACTTTCGAATAATGCTGTCACTTCAAACTGCTTTGTGTCATGAGGTCGAGCAGCTTTTAGAGCGGTAACTACTCTATCTTCCTTCAGCGCCCTCCTCATTACAAAGACTACTTTTTAGAACTGTAACCTCTCTAAAACACATTATGGTGCAAAACTACGATCATGGTGATTAAAAAGTGCGAATAATTAGCAGAAATATATAAAAACATAAAAGACAGGGTTGGAGCCATAAGCATGAGGAACTCCAGAGGGCTTGTCTTTCAGCTTGTCAAAGCAAAGTTTGCATATCTTTGACATTCACTTATGTTACGTTCATATGGCATACAAGCTTGCAATTAGCTACAGATTTTATTTGGCTATGTACTATAATTTGTAATTTCTTGTCCAGTGATAAATTCATCCGATTATGACGATTAAGGTATGAAATTTGAGGCATGTTTCAATGGTATATATTTCTACATCTATTGGTTTTCCAATCTCTTGAAAACAACAGGTCATTAAATCAAAGAAAGTACAAACGTAACCAGTTTATGAACGTAATAGGCTTGAGCTTAACTTGCCGTAATTTTATATTTATGTGCTTAGGGACGATATTTCGTGACCAAAGATTCTTTGAGCTGAGAAAACCAGCACTGATTTCCTGAAATACTAAGCATTCGACTTTCAAATTACAAGAACGAATATCTCTTGAACCTATGTCTTGCATCTGCAGCTGCAAAATACATATTTTAGTGTCATGTTTTGTACTCACTGGGTTTATGAAGTATCGTCAATGTACTGACATAATGCATATAGTACACGGCCCATGACTTACAAACGCTTACATTCGTCTCTGAAAAATTCTAAGTAAGATGCACCACACGCCATTTATCTTCTGCAGACCAAACGAAAGTTCAATGCTCTTTGGTCAGATCTGTTAAGCGTGGCTTATCTTCAAAGCTTTCACGAAAATGGGAAACACATTAAAATATCTCTAAAGACAAACGACTCATAAATTTTTAATAATTGCATAAAGATCATCTAGATTGATCTGAAATTGTTTAAAATTTGATTAATAAATGGTGCAAAGATCACCTGGGATTACTAGCAATGCAATACAAACATAGGTTGTCTTTTATACTGCCCTACCTTAGAATCAGGATTCGACAACATACGGCGGGTTTAAGAAAACTTGCACAAGACAATGCTGTAAAAACTTTGACATGCTTTGCGCAACGGGCATGCTTTTGCGGTACCTATTTTTACGTGGAGAGCAATGGATTGTATTTGGTAATTTCATGCGATGCGAAATTAAGCCAGTTTTGATAATTATGTCGCAAAGCATGCCGGTTGCGTAAAAGCCTTTACACACATAATACGTAGTCCAGACGAAGAACTAATGTCGCAAATCTAATACAAGTTTCACGAAAAATATTTTTCAAAATTTGGAAAGTTGAAAATCTCCACCAAAGGGCTTAATTTTCAAACAAGAAAAGTAATTGTACCCGCAATGTTTTTAGGAATTTGCAAAATTTAAATTAAATCGAGGCCACAGGTACTAAATTTATGAAGCCGTCTTCAAAATAACAAATATTTCAAGATTCCATCCAGTTACTGAAAAACGACTTCAGTCAATTGACGCTGTGTATGCCTCATCTAATGGAACCTGCAATCGTGTTATATGAAGGTAGGCATCAGCGTGTTCGTGAAAACATGTGCATTTCCTTCTGTCAATAAATTAAAGCTGTATGAAGATAGCTACGTAACTAAAAGTTGTCTCTTAGGAACAAGGGCTTGTGGGCTTGACGGACTCTAGGATAATTTTGACATAAGAAAGACATTGTATAGGTATTCAATTGAGATCAAAGCCGTTTTTACTGTCTTAGTTTGACGATAGTCACTTGTCAGTCAATGCCCAAGGTGCTGTAACAGCTGAGGTTTATTACTTTAATCAAAACATTTATGCCGTTCTTAAAATATTTTCGAATCAAAAAACTATAATACATTCGCGCTTTCATTATTTGATTTGATGACTTGAAATTTCAAGCCACTTGGATTTCTTAAAGTTTCATTCTTTTCTGCCCAACAAAACTAACCAATCTGTCTAAGGAATATAGAAAAACCCTTTCTGCTATGACATGAACGGGTCTTTTCGAGCTGAAACCAACATAAACAACTTAAGAGCTGCCTGAAGTGCCAATGAAAATACTTCAGTGATGCATTCAGGAGATACATGAAATTTAAAGCTTTTTGCTAAACCATGAAACAATACCTAAACGTACAAACAGTCCTTCTGTCTATCATGCTGAAATACAAAAACCAATACCTTCTGCAAATTAACACATTATAATTTTAATATATATTTTTGTTACTTATACCACAGAAGCCTTTATCTTTGAGAAAACAATTCTTTTGTGCACACATATAGCTTACAATTAAAACTATCCAAAATGTTGAAAGCAGGCTATTTTCCGTTAGCTGTAAAAAATGTATTTTGCGATTGCATTACTTTTTTTAGGCTAAAAATTCTGCAGGTTTCTTTCAAAATTTTCTGAGATCCTCCAAAATTTGAATGCTCCGCACTCCTACCAACTTCCACTAAGACTATTGACTGCTGCTAAATCTAACTTCAAAGCCTTTGGAACATTCTTCTCTTGGACAATACTTTTCAATCACAGTCTTGAAATTTGATTATCTTCCATTGGCAAATGATTCAACACTTAAAAAACCATCCTTATAAAAACAAAGGAAAATTGGATGAGGTTTGGGTGGGAGAATCAATTTTTCTGCATTCATTAAACTTTCTAGGGGGTCGTTCACAATATGACAGCCACTTTTCTTAGGTAGAATAACGGACACTGAGAAGCAATGCTCCTTTAGCGAATCTATCTTATCTCGTAGTGTGATCACACACATTGTGATTCTTACACCTGGTACAAAAGATTGCTGGTCAGCCTCTATCGAAGTGGCGTTTATCAGGTCTTCTAAGGTTTTGTTTTCTTCTGAGTTCTTATAACCACTATTATTGTCGTGTTTTTTCCGTCTGGTTTGCTGCTCTTTGTAAACGTACAAGTGATAGAATAAAAAAGATCATTGTTAATATATAGCTAAAGTGACAGCCTTTTTTGCTGATCACTTCATGCTGCATGGCCAATTTCCAGATACTCTTATGCTGTGATTTCACTTGCCAATTATTACAGAGGTATCTGCCCGTTTATTTTTAACAACACACCTTATAAACTTACTAGAAACTAGAAACTAGAACTAACAAAACTAGAAAAAACTAGAAATAACAAGTTGAAGAAGGCTTTATTGGATTAGTTTCTTTCTTACAACCCAACGCGTGTAAAAAAGGCTCGGACTAGGTAAGCTTAGAAACAAAATTTATAGTTCTGGAATATAAACCTGTATCAGCAGTATGACAAATACTTCTCTTTTTTAGTTGAGATCCATGCAAAGACTTTATAAAAGCTGTAACTCAGTGTATTCCAAGTATCGCAGACAAAATCCTTTTCAAATAAACCAATACTTTAGTGTGAAAGAAGAACAGAATGCTTTACTATCCGAAATTTACAGAGATCAAACAATGAACTCTTGTATAAGACGAAGTTTTATTCTTACTAATCCTGAAACACTCAGATTTACGCGCTGATTGAACAAAATCCAAACGGTAGGATCTCAAAGAATAAAGCATTAATGTGTGCCTTATGTCGACAAATACCCTTTATTATTGTCAATTTTTTATCAGACTTACCGGTCAATTTTCGTTGGATGTCTTCTTCGGTAACTTCCTCGTGATTCACCACAAACATCAACACTTCGCCAACCTCATTCCGGACCGGTGATATGAGAACCGAACATAGGAACTTCGTGCCTTAAAAATAAATCAACAGTTAATCAGTGAACTAAAGAACCTGACTTTCAAGATTTTAAAAAACGAAGAAAGCGCTGAATATTCATATTGAAAGTAAGACATTTCCCACTCACGTCTACTTCATAAGATTACAATCTTAATTTGATAGTAAATGTTAAGCAAACATGGCAAAATCTTGCTCAGACGGTTATCAGCTGATATATTTAAGCAAAGAGGACAACAGATTTCTACCAGACTAAATTTCAACGATAAGAGATGCTCAGGTGCCATTTGTTGATATACAAATGCTGATTATAATAACAATTTCTGTGTAGCCACCATGATCATATCACTCGCAATGTTTTTCGTTATTCTGCTAGACAATAATTTCACTAGAAAGTAGTTTCACAGCTAAAAGCTATCAGCGCCATATTGTTGATACAAGCGAATGACAAAGGTTGTCGTCTTTAAATGTAAAAAGCTTGCGGACTGAAGGATCTTCATTTGTTGAAAGCAGGGACCGAACGCCCAGAACGCCTAGCCTGTGCCCCAGTCAACAAATGCTGCATGCCACAATGCTACAAATGAACGCCTCAAAAAGAACCGATAAGACCAGGAAAAAATTACCTCGGTAAAGGTTCTTTAGGCTAGAGCTCGCACTTTGAGGTAAAAATCTGCTGGTGAAACGAAAATCCGGATACCTTACTGACCTGAAGCCCATAGAGAAGTCATTTGAAAATTTAGTTTAGCATTTTCCGTTAGCAGTTTAGTATAGTTTTAGCTTAGCAGTTTAGTTTAGTTTTATCAAGTTTTTTCCTTACGATAGCATTCATTAGACATCTCGATTGTTTTCCTGGCGTCCTTTCTTGGGATCATCGCACGATAAAAGACATACGAGAAAGTCAGTTACTGAGGATATTACGAGAAATCAAGCACCTTGTGAAGAAAACAAAGCGATCTACCCTCCTGCATCAGGTTTTTGCAAAAGACAAATTTAGTTTTTCTGATACTCCTTTATATTTGTGACATTCATGGGCCGACATGACAATGCAATACTTGTCACTCACGATAAGAACAAATACATGAATCCTATCCTACTAACGTTTCCTAACACCGTGCACCAGATCGGGGAAGGTAGAAGCCCTAAACGTGTCTAGCAAAGGCAGAAAGGGTTGGACCAAAAGTTTTAGAAGCGATACAGAAGAATATCTTGCAAGTTAAACAATGCAAGAAATATCTCATTTGAAAGGAAGGGAGAATCGTGCAAGGAAATACAGGAGAAACATCACTTTCTCTCTAGATGAAGAGAAGGATGCAATGTCACAAATTAAAAAAAGCCATCTAGATTTTTCGCAGATTCTTGAATTTGCTTGGATATTTCCAGAGATTGATTTATTGCCTGGACGTCCTCTTTTCATTTGTGTTTACCAAGAAAAGGCAAAAACCCTATGTTAGACCCCGTTTACACGGTCCCGAGCAAGATAGGAACCGTGACAGTTTTGTCCTTCCGCCCTTCCGTTTACACTAGTACTGTGGAACCGAGACGATTTTGCTCTGCTATCCGGAACAGTTTGGGCCCTGCTTTGAAAGGGAGCGAATTTTGTACCGTCACGTTCCGTTTTTGAGCGGGACAGTGTAAACACCTATCCGAGACGTTTTTTCACGGATTCACAAAGAGGTCTTTTGAGCGGGACAGTTGTTTCAGGTAATCGAGGCTTTGATTTTGGGGCAACTACGTTGTCAAATTCCTTGTCGTCCATCCAAGTGAAACTTTTATCACCCTTCTTCTCAATTTTCCCTCTCAATAAAATTTCGATTGTTGTTTTTGGCGGCAAAATTAAAGCCTCGGTTGACGAAATACAGCCTTCTTTAAACAATGTTCTACCATTAAATTTTGGTCGTACCAGTAAGTGTAAACGAAGGTTTTTGATAGAAAGAGAAACACTAATGCAGAGATAACTGATCCTTGCGGTGCAGCATTAATATTCCCAAGTAGTACCAATTGTCTCGCTTTGCTTTCTATTAATAGAACTGCCTGTTGTCTGTCATAAAGATTTTGGATTGTCTGTGAGATATAGCTGTTGCACTACATTTATCAAACTAAGTATTTAGATAGCCCAAGCTGCTAGCCTAGACAAATTAAAAGATAAGCCAAATAAGATTAAGAAACTGTAAAAAAAATATGTTATCTAAAGGAAAGCTTGCAATAAAAGCAATATTGAATGTTCAACTCTGAAATTAAGAAATTCAGGTATAGGAAAATAAAATTGCTGGAGACAATGATGAAACCTTGGCCCAATGGTTTATTTACCAAAGACGATCTGCATTTTGTAAAAGGGGTGTGGCACTTGAAGCAGGTGCTATTCACAGTAACTAAGAGCAATTAGTTCTGTATGGTGGTCTTCATACATTTATGAATCATTTTCATAATATTTAGGCAATTAAAGCAGCTGAATATGTAGCTTGCTTAGGTAACAGTAAACACAAGACAATAGTAACACAAAAAAGATTCAATCAAAGTGTATTATTTGTACTTTCTTACGATCATAATTGACTTTTGCATATAATAATGGTCACTGTTAGTTTGCAATAGACAGGACGGTCCTAAGTCGCAACTCCGAGTTTCACGATCTATAGAAAAGTAAACACCTTTCGTCCATCGAGAGAACACTTGTGTAAACTTTTGCAGATTAAAAAGAGGGCTCTTACAAGACTTGGATAGCTTAAACTGTTTAATTGAATTTCAGTGTCAGATTTTGTTTGCCAGGCTTGTTTTCTGCACTAATGCATGATTGTATGAGTTTTTAAAGCACTTCCCGCATGTCCAAAGAAACTTGTTTTCAAAGATAACGAAGGCAAAAATTTGCTTGCCAAATGCAACACTTGCCAAAATCAATACGCTGATGACGTCAGTAACAATCTAACCAAAGCGAGACTAGAAGACTATTTCACACAATACTGGAAAAATGTTACTGGCTGTTACTTTCCAACAACAATGAATCCAAACTTCATTTTCATATGCTTTTCAATAAACCTTCTGTCTGGCCAGTGACAATCGATACTTATATTAAGTAGCATTATATCTAAAATAAACGTTTTCTGCCAAGAATCGTTTTTTCCACAAACATTTTAAAACACCCATCATTAGCACGATATTTTCATGAATCCGTACCAAAACAGCCACATTTTACCTGTCTATAGGCATAGCACGCTGTAAAAAGCTCAGAACTTTTAAAACTTACATGAATATCCAATTTTGTTTAATCTGCAGATATGTTAATGAAAAATAATACATACAGGAAAGCATACAAACATTCAGTTTCACCAGTGCGAAAGAAAACAACATCAAATCTGCGTTACTGTTTTGAAAGGGTAAAAACCCGCTTTTGAAATTTGGTAAACAACAAGTACAAAAAAAAGGTGCGTTACGAAATTTGTCTGACAAAATTTTATAATAGCAGTCAATAGCTAGTAAAACGAAAAAGCTTAATTATTTTCAAATTATTTCTTCATCTAAGAACGTAGCTTAGCGACGGAAATGATCCTGGTTTTCAAATTAAAACATAAAAAGAGCATCAGCATGACCAGATACATATTTATACTGGTACTGCTATATAAAGCGAAATAGAAATCTGACTCTATGTATAAAAGATTGTAAATTCTGTTGATGTTATGTAAAAAAGATTAAAAAACATTGGGCCTACAATTAAAAAGCAGCCCTTGTTTTGCCAGTGGATGATATGATGAAATATTTCTGTGGACTTCACTTTGTCACTGCAATGTGAGTTTTTAAGTGCTTTTCGACATCCAGGAGTAGGGAAGTACAAATGTGTGGCAGAGAGTGACATGCTTTGAAATTATGCTGGAAGCGATATTGAAGACTCAACAAACGAGGAAAGCGATGACGTAATCGATGCCTTAGATAACATAGAAAATGACATGCTTCAGAATGTTACTAAACATAATGTTAAAGATTTGTTGTTTGACGAAAATGATGGTGCTCAACTGAGCCAAGTATAACTACTTGTGCATATTCGTTTGTTTACTAAGGAGGGGATGCTTTGTTGACATCAATGGCCTGTTGCCTGTTTTATCTGATTTTTGCTCGGAAACTTTTCTGCATTGACATTTCGTCTCAAAAAAAGGTAGAAGCTAAGATTTCTCTAGTCATTAATGCGAAGTTAGTGTATGAATGTATGGTTAGACTTAATGCAATCTATTGCCTGCTGATAAGGAGCGAAAGCCTTGCTTTATCAATAAAAAGTATCTGTTAAAAACGACAAACAGATCGAGAAACTCGGGTATATGGAAGATCTAATGCAGCTGCTACGCAGGCAAAATTATTCATAGAATACTGAACTATAATCAATTAACAATTGAATGAAAGATTCATCGCGGAGATTACAAATAGAGAACGAGCAAAATATACCTCAAGATAGATGCTCTTGTCCAAAGCAAGTCAAAGTCAAAGTAATTTCAGCAAATAAATTCGCTAGCAATATTTGTTTCGGAGAAAGTGTACACACAGATGTAAGCGGGTACTTAATGGTACCAGTCATTCAATTCAACAAATTCACCTTGCCCTGTAGGGTATCTATTAAATCCCGGTGCAAATTGTAAATCATCAACAACGCTATAGGATGACCAACTGGCAACAAACATGGTTTAGTAGTATAGAATGCTGCATATTAATGATGTAAATGCGCTTGCCAAACAACCTCAGTCGCAACAGCAAACCGCTACCTTCATCAGAACCTGGTCACTTATATCTGCGGTCTTTAACATCAAGGACTCCGACGGCAACCACTTTAATGGAGATACCAGCAAATGTGGAATGGTAACGTTATGAAACTACAAAGCCTGTTTGCCACTTTGTCAATAAACATTTCCATAATAGGAATATACACACGTGCGTAGCTGTTACTGAGTGATAATCTGAATGAACGATTCTCTCTATTCTTGCAGTTAGACACGGTACACAATTATCTCAAGTAGGTATATGTAAACAACAAATACTTAAAGCTAAAGGGCAGAAATAATGCTGCAAACCTTTCCTATGAGGTGTGGCAACCAATCAAATAGCTGTGGTCTTATAAACCATAAAAGCAGAACCAAGAAATAATCATATAGGCCGCGCAGCGGTTGACTTAACAATTTTTTTCAAAAGAATAATTTTAAATGAATGCTGTGACTCAAAACTGGTAAAATTTAAGGATTAATTCAGAACTTTATCCAGGCCCGAACTGCATTGATAATTCAACTTTTTGAGTTATCTGAGCAGGAAAGCCTGACTTTCACGCGAAAAATTCGATGAACACTCGTCAAGCTTGTCTTGCGCGAAAATGCGTGGCTTCTTACAATATTTTTGTGATGAAAAAGGACAGTAGCAAAGATTTTAAATCTCTTCTTAAAAATGATCGAAAATAACTTTAGATTTAGAATCACAAACCTTTAGTAACAATTCAGCAAGACGTATTATCGATAGAAGGTGTGGCTGTTGCATTGATGCACTGCGTTGTGCTATTAACGACTTTTTTTCGTCTAGAAGCCCTGGTGGCTATAGCTAAATTAGACAGCAAACCACGGTATGACCAAAGAGTTAGAATACAAAGCCGATGAAGAGATTAACGAATTTCACTTGATCGCACTGTGGGGCTAAAACTATGAGCTGCTTTGGTCTCTAAGCGACACATGCGCTTTTCTGGTAGGCAATGTCTACCATCAGCGGTTAAGACCGCTCGGAGATCGTGTGGATCTTTTCAAGAATAAAAGAAGATTATGACTTCAATAAATTTTAATCTCTTGTTTTATAAATTGATCACATATCTTGAAACAGCATCATGAAATACTTCTATATATGCGAAATCAGCTAAATTTGCTAGAAAATGCCTGAAATTGAATAATTTGTTCTGATGACACATTATAGAACTCTTTTGATCGAATGCCAGCAAAAAGCTGATAATGAGCCTATTGCTAAGGTTAGAATCGAGCCATTCAACTAGACAACTAACACAGGATATACACAAGTCGAGCAGCTGCCCTAGCATACATGTGTAAGACATTCTAGAGTTCTTATATTATTAAAAACAAAAACAAATTGAACCTAAAATGATTCAGCAAGTGCAAACAATGTGTGCCAGAAGGAGGAGACGCTGGAGGGGCCGTTCAAGGGATTCTATGAATCTTACGATGAAAAATGTGATAATAAACGATAGGTAAGAACACTTTAAAGCAACAAGGAAATGTTCTATAAAGACTGATTCAATTTAAAAAAACAAAATTCAAAATATGATGAAGTCTTATTGAACATTTGCTCCGGCATACGGGGCTTCATCAGCTCAACGACGGTGATATCTAGAGTTCGACATCGTAGCAAAAAAATACAACCAACATTTGGAAAGATCATCGCTGTCAATTCCATCATGATATCTAGAGTAAGCTCTGTACACGTCATCACGCTATATTTAGCATAATCATCGTCATATCCTCGTTGCATTCGTGCACTACATTTAACATGCTTATCATCATGTCCTCGTTTTCACATGTGCTCTACATTTAGCGTGTCCATCGTCATATCCTCATTTTCATTCGTGCACTACATTTAACATGCTTATCATCATGTCCTCGTTTTCACATGTGCTCTACATTTAGCATAATCATCGTCATATCCTCATTTTCATTCGTGCACTACATTTAACATGCTTATCATCATGTCCTCGTTTTCACATGTGCTCTACATTTAGCATAATCATCGTCATATCCTCATTTTCATTCGTGCACTACATTTAACATGCTTATCATCATGTCCTCGTTTTCACATGTGCTCTACATTTAGCGTGTTCATCGTCATATCCTCATTTTCATTCGTGCACTACATTTAGCGTGTTTATCATCATGTCCTCGTTATCACATGTGCTCTACATTTAGTGTGTTCATCGTCGTGTCTGACTGGCATTGTTTTATAGTGCTACACCACAAGTGCAAGAAGGCGACGGGTTTTACAGCTGTCTTGTAAAGGCCTAGGCCAAATGTGATGATTTAACTACTGGAGAAGCTTAGTGGAGCACACATGCTTTTCTAATTACATCACATTGCATTAAATTACAAATGTGAAAAATGAACATTTTATCATGCCAGTTGCTGCTTTACTGCGTTTTCAGTTACCGTATTTCCACCGAAGAACGCCACGGCGTTTATTACAAAGCCTAAGTTTTGGGTGCGGCATTTAATAGGGAAAATAAGATAACTGAGTCTTTTGCTCCAATTCGCAATATAAAATAAGACTATTGGTGAAAAATGAAGAAGAAGAGAACTTGATTTTCAACCAAAAAAAACTCAAGATTTTAGGAACTCGTGGAAGACTTTGAAATCGATTGTTGTTAAGAATATTATAAGTTTAGAGCTAAAAATATTTTAGCATTTTGAAGGAGAATACAGCTTTATATAAAAACTAGCTGACAGACAACATGAAGACTCCAAATCTAGCACAGATATGACGATAAACAAAACAAAGAATAGACACGGTGATAAAGTGAAACATAGAAATCGGTTTTGACAGTTAGAACAGACGTCATTCACAGTCAAATGAAGTGCGCTTGAAATTTTTTGGTAACCTCGTGACAGTAAACAAGAATGTAAAGAAGAAGAATAAAAAGAAAAGGCAATAGGATATTTGCTTAGTTGGACTAGCTTGAGTAATGAATGAACGGGAGCAAAAAAACCTCACTACTATAAATCCTAATTGGAGGAGACTCGGCGAACTCTGATTTGAGTTCTTCGGGCCTCCTGGTAGCACGGAGGTCGCTTGTTTTTCTTCTGAGCAAGTTGGAATAGCCAATAGAAATTTTTTTAAGTCAGAACGTAATGAGCTGTGATGCACAGTGAGCCTCGATGTGGAGAGGAGGCAATGAAGAACTGAATTTCAACGAGAGTTTGAAAACTAACTTCCTATTAACAACGAGCGTCAGTTTTGCGTTTTATGAGGAATCGAAAGTCCAGATATGCGTTTCTCCAGTAGGAAATTCGCGCAAAACGATGGCCTACCTTGATAAAACAGAAGAAGGCACAATATGAATTTTTTTTTTCAAAGCATACATTGTTTTATTGCAGTTTTAACAAACACACAGCAGTTGCAGAAATACCTGAAGTGATCCTATAAACTCCACTGTTTCTAAAGTGGATCTCCTAGCTGGTACCAGAAAACACAGCGTAGACTAAAAAACAACCTAATCAAAATAAATGAAAGCAAACAAGGGGAACATCTATGTGAAAAATATTATTTTCACAATGATAAAAATAGGAAGTTTCTTAAACGAAATGGGCCTTTGTTTGGGAGTTTAAATGACAGATCTTTGATGGGCTGAGAGACACGAATTCTCATACCATATTGACCAATCAGAACTGAACTCTGATAGAGGGGAGTTCTAAGTTTCACCTCCGAGTTCCCCAAATAAATGCGATCATAAGGTAAGAGGGTAAATAGATTGAAAAGGGTAGAATAGGAATTCATGGGAAAAGTCAGCCATGCTTTGCAGATATCTGTAATGCAATTACAATCCAAGGATAGGTTTAAATGCAAAGAAACCACGCTATAGGTTTGGTTTAAGCAGTGTACAATAAAATATTCATGAATTTACCTAACAGTCGCAATTTCTAAACGTGTAACTATAAACAATATTGAAAATCTTTCAAGATTCGCATCGGTTAACCCTCTCACATCCTCACAGTTGTGTTAATTAATGGTCAACATGATTAGAAAGCGTCTTCACAAATTGAAACGAATGGCTGTAATTTAATAGCTACGTAATTAGTAGGATGACTGACTCGAATAGGTGCAAAGCACGAAATAGCACTAGCTTGGAGAGGAATAATCGTTGTATGAACAAACAAATTTATGATAAAGTATAAAGAATAGAATATTTAATAATGAAGAATAATTTACGATCCTCTTTGTTTATCTTTTCCTTTTTATAGTTTCTTCAACTTTATTAAATGCCTAATGCATTGATTTTGTCATTATGTAATCGCACTGTATTTCTCACTAGATTGTTTATTGCTCGGATTTTGTCAAATATGTCAATTTATCATTGATTTTAACGATGGATTTAAGTTAAAGAACCACGATGTCTTTTTTGTCGTTGTATTGGTATTAAGTTTCATCATCAAACTGCGTTTCCTAAAGTGAGAATATTTAATAACAGTAATAGAACTTATTGTTACTAGAATTATGTCTTGTTAGCAAAAGGTATTGGTTTCGTGAAATGAGATACGATTACCCTTATCTATGAACTGAATGGAAAAGAAATCATTTAATTAGAATGATCCAAGAAAAGTATAAAATTATTGGAGGGGCATCATTCTTGAGAATAATAGGAACGAAAGTGACTGTTGATTGGATTTCAAGGAATCTTAAAACCTTTGGGGGGAGGCAGGGCTGTAGAAGAGGGGGCTCGGGGGGCTCAGGGGGGCTAAGGGGCTGCACCCCCTTCTTTTATCTCTGGGTGATTCTAAAATATCATGGCTAATTTTTGTCTGGATCAAATCTTTGATTGAACCGATAGTACTTTTTGACATTTGCCTCATATGTGACCTCAAAAGACCTCTTGATAACGGCTGGCAAAATTTTACTATTTTAAATTTTTCAGTTTGAAGATTTTTCTATTTAAGTAACCGGTAGACATTGAAAGATGACTTAAACTAGAAGAAGTAGAAAGATAATGAAAATGATATTGAGGAGACATGCAAACGAAAACAATTGAAACGTTCATTTTATATAGAAAACAGAGAAAGCGCTATGGCCCCCTCTACATTTTTTAGGCTATACACAACTGGGGGGGGGGGGGGAGGGCATGAGTCCCCAAAGAACAATAGTGGTCATAAAGGTGTATTTTACTTTCGGTAGTATGAACAGCTCTTATGCCTCCATATCCATGATAGGGAGCATCCCTCAAAATCTGAAATCACAATAGAATAGGTGCTAGTTTACAATACAACAATAACAACAACTCGTCTTTATCGATTTAAACGCTAGAAGACTAACAACACGCTGTCTCAGTGCATGTGCTTTACAAAAGAGGAGATTTTGAAGCGCGCCGAAGATGAATTAGATCCTCGTCAATAGCAAAGGTTTGACAAAAAGTTCCCGTACACGCAAGTCTGGAACAACAATAGACGAAGAATTGAAACTAGCAGCAAGTTTTGCGTCAAAGCTCAGGCAACGTCAAAACAGTATAAAGATTACATTATTCATTACCCTTAGATCACACCATAACACATACTTAAATCATGAATTATAACCGTGATCAAATCTGAGCATGACGTAAACTTCGATAAAAATGCACAAAACAGAGACTTTGGGAAATGTAATAACATGGAAGCTGCTGGCGTTTGAATATGTTGTGGCTAGACGTTGACTTTGGTGCAATCAAACCAAAATGCTGATATTTTGTACAAATAAAGATTTTTTGTGCTCATTCTACGAAACAAAAAATCTCTAAATATTAGCTATTCATTTCAAATAGTAGCTCGTTAAAGCATCACCAAAGTCCTATATTTGATTTATGAAAATGCTTTTTTGACATCACAGAAAACATCTTTAATGAAAATTGCTAAGGCTTTCTTTCCGTGCATCCATAATTTTTGTAGCCCAGTCGAGAGATTTACAGTCTAGCAGCAATCTAATGACATTAAATTGTAAGCCAAAATTCTGCGGAAAAACTGTCTTCATTATAACATGATGAGCCAATGCGGATACCATCTTCCAATGAGAGCATCACTGACAGCTATAGCTGTATAGAAATCGAAAAAACGTTTGGCTTCGTCGTTGCATTTTTTCTCAAACCTTACCAAGCCTCACTAGCACAGTAAAAGAAGCTCAAACCTCAGTCCATGCTAGGTGAGAGTACCGAGATACACGTTGTGCGAAATGGTGAGTCGGAAACAAGCTGCAGGTGCTGGAAGTTAGTTTTTTCGTAGGATTATGACTTCAACGAATGGAAAGGACGCTTAATTCAGCGAGCTACTAGAAAAGTAGAAGAATAACCATGATTTCAAAGGAGCCACTTCCCGTAAGTCCAAATAACGCTAACAGCAACTGCTATGGTGCTAATTTTTCGGTTGTACCAACATGATTTCAACGGTTTGTACGCATGAAGATAAATAATGTAGTTCCAAGTGTTGTATGTCGTTGACCAGGACATAAAATAAATACGACATACGACAACAGTATACCAGGAGCATTTCATCAGATGTGAAGAGGCATACATGAAACATTGCACTCCTTGCATGAGGTCCTTTTACGAGCTATTTATTTCACATTTTATACGCAAACTTGCCTTTTTGCATCTAGAATAAATTTTCGATACTGAAAGCCAAGAAAACGGTATATATAAATGAATCCTTGCGTTACCATACTTCTGACGGCATACAGCCTTGTGGTAACTCTGTTTCTCAAGAAAATCTTCACAAAATTTGCTTGTAATATTCATCACAACAAAATGGTTCGAATCTTTGCGCGAAACAGCCGGTGCATAGATTAATATATCAATTAGCAAAAAACTGTAATTAAAATCCATAAAATGTTTCATCACTAATATTCCTTAACTCCAGACTGTTATTAGAAAGACAAAATATCATTTCTTAGATAGCATTATTAAGATGAGAATAAAACATGACAAAGATAAGTAACATGAACTTGCAACACGGGATCGAGAGAGCACGATATTCTGTCTAATTCTCCTTTTCAGGGAATATCACCCCATCACATGAATATATCACAATTCTCGATTAGGCATAAAGCAAGACATAACAGAGCAGAAACTATTTTGCCGTTTGTGTTAAGACTATTTGTCAGATAAAATATAATTTTGCGATGTTGAAAAAATTAAACACACAAGTGCAGAAGCTAATTTAAAAGCTGATCAACCACCGTAAGCCTTGACAAAAAAATTTTCGATAAAATGCATCCAACTGAAGAAAAAAAGTTAAAACATGTTTACTGGTAGGCCAACGGCTGTCCTTTCACAAACTCAAGTGCGAATGAAAACGGATGGAAGAAATAAGCGGTAAAGACACCAATGTAAACCCAGTGCGCGATTATGCAGTACAGATTACAAATCAAGACTTGAGATAACGAAGAAAATTGGCTGACACATGGCCTGGAAGTATCGTGATTGTATCGAATATGATGTCTAAGGTTATTGGACAAAAGACTAACGATACACTAACCTTAGCTTGCTCGCAATGAAAGCGCCTGCATAAAGCTGCTCGTCAACTTGGTTTTCGCTAGAAACTGTTGTACTGGTTATTATGACCTGTTTGTTGATAATTTCATTCCAAGGCTTGTCACAGGGAACGAACAAGACGTTCGCCAATCAAAAGCAGGATTAAGACCGTGCAGAGGATGGCATGCAAATTTCGAGTTGGAAACAAGTGATTTGAATCCTTTATGAAAATTATAACCGGGGTGCCTTTGTACACAGAAAATTTCGCCTATTATTGGGCTTTGTTGGCTTGAGCGTGGCTGCTGAGGGCGTCTCAATCAATATTCATAGACGGCGTTAGTCGACACAGCGCGGTCATGGATATGCCAAGGATTACAACACTGCCAATAAAACAAGCAATTCTTTATCAAAATTATTTTAGTATTTGCAAACGACGACAACCGGGACGAGAAATACTAGACATACAATACAATACACTGACTTAAAGAACTCAAAGAATAGACCTTAGATGCTACCATTTCAAAGAAAGTTTATAAATTTTACAGAGATTTTCTTAACATTCAAATCCCCTTAATGTACTTCACAATAGATGTTAAAAAAGGGTCCTAACGACTTTTGTGATGTTTTGCAAACAATGTATTGATAGACGTTAGGAACTGAAAAAATGCACTCTCTGTCAAAGGAGGTCAATGAATCGCTCGTAAAACCTACGAAAACACTGACTTCCAATATCCAAATTAACAAAAAGAGAATTTCTGCTCCTTTTCATTTCCGCTCTACTCTCCTCCACAGAGGCTATTGGAGAAGGAGATGATGAGTTAGAAATGATGAAGCTGCGGGGAACAGGAGGGGGAGGGCGGAGGAGAAGAGGAAAGGTCTGCCGCTATTCTCTTCCTCCTTCTCCCTCGCAGCTCCTCCACTTTTTATTTTCTTTCGCTGCTCCTAGTACCTAGGATACCATACTTTTCAAGAACCTTGGTTACGAGAAATAGAGTCAGTAGTAGTGTAGCGATAGAGTATTTACTTATTTTATAGTGCTGTTAATTTAAACTGTTTCTCTCAGCTTTACATTGCTACAATGCGTCATGCTTACTCAGCCTCTCTCGTTTCTCAATCTAGAACTTTCCATCTCCATTACATCATCATTACATTATACTCACATATTCTTCGTCAGCAGATTTATTTTTAGAGTTAAGGTATAAATAATCGTAGAGTAAGTTAGTAAGGGTATCTTGAATTGAAGCAAACAGAACTCGATTTTCCCTACGCGTCTTCTCAACACATCAACGGGTGAGATCGTTTTAATTTACTTTTTGTTAATAGTTCTCAATTGACGGTAAAGGTACGAACTATTTAAGTAGCTCCAAGAAAGAGGCTTCCTCAATAATGATTTTTCTAATTCAAAACGCCTCCTAATACTACAGGCACCGCGGAGCGTTGAGAAAAGTGGGGGAAAAAAGAGGCTTTACTGGTAGTTTAATACTTAATATTAAGCATTTTTGCAAAAAGTGCTTAATAGTGATAACGTGATAACCATGCAAAAAGTGATAACCATAACCCTTAAAAATGCCTGTTTACCAGTGTGAAGCGTTTGTTAAGGTGAGAGCAGAATTAAATCTTTAATAATTCACTTCTTAGTTGACATTGCTATCCATGCAATTCAATTCTTTCCTCGCTCCCTAGTTTTACTACGTTAGCCTGCTTTGCTGCAATAATTCATATTTAATCCGATGTGTTGCCATGGGGCTTCTTGTTTTAATTCATATTCATGGAGTAAGAAGACTGAACTTGGTGATGCTAGCAGAGACCATATAGGCCATGACTCGGGATCTTTTTGTAATCGTCATCAAAAAATTAGCAGAATATTTTTCTGCTCGCTTACACCTGCAGAAATGACACTGAATTCGCTTCGACCTCTTGATTAAATCAAAGAAATAAAATTTCGCTAACTCGT